GTGCTTTTTGGTCATTCGTCTGTCTTCTTTGGTGAAATGTCTATTGAAGTCCTTTGCCTATAGGTTTCTGCCTTATTTTGACCTGGAAGTACATCTGTCCTCCAGCTAAGCGTATCTTCCCCAAAGTTCAGAAGTACAATCGTTATAACTGATTTTCCAATTGTCTTTGATGTAAAAAAAAAATTTTCCCCAGCCCATTGTCAGAATCAAGTGTCACCAAGGTACCTTAGAAGCCTACCCGTTTCCCAAATATACAATCCTGTCATACCTATAGATGTGTGGGACCCACAGACAGATGTGGCAGGATAAAAACTTGTAGTCATCAGACAAGGACTCTTCCATGTTACTTATGTTGGGAGAGTATGTCACAAACAGTAGGTCTTTTCAGTTTTCAAAAACTTGTTAGTGAAAATATTTAACAAATTTTGTGGGTGCTTCTGACATAGAACCCCACGACTCACCAGGCACCCTCATATTTGTAAACCTATTAGTATGTATCCATTTTAGGTGGGAAGGTTCTTACCAATAAGTTAAACTGTAACACTGTTAATAAGGAAAAGCTAAGATGTCTTGGTTGCTGAAAAAACTTTGCAGACATGAGATTTCCTAGCAAAATGTGATATACCCGTATTATAAATTTGGTGTGGTGGTTTATTAGTAACAGTAATTGCGGGGTATCTGGGGAATACTTAACATCCTCTGTTGTTTTTCTTTCCACAAGAGGAGTACATGATTTTATTAAAATTTTTTTTCTAAGTTTATATTGATTTTTATAAAATTATAGACTAGAAAATTGCCAGAATGCTATTTATCTAGACAACTTTCCTATGCATAAATCATAGTTGATTGCCTCAATCTTTTTCACTGACTATATTGTTGACATTTTACTTGTAATGGTACTAGAGATGGTGGTGTGTAGATGAAGAACAGGGGCTTCTGAGGTCAGATTCCTGGGTTCAAATCCAGGCTCTGCCACTTTCCTACTTACCTGATCTTGGGCAACTCACTTTATTGCACTTTCTTTTCTTTAAAATTGGGCTAACAATATTCCCTAGGGTTTTTATGAAGATTAGATAATACACAAAGTACAATACCTAGTACATAGGTAACATTTACTGAGAACTATTATTTTTTGGCTCTTCTATTCTATAACTTTATTTTTTAATGGCTTTGTGGTGATGAGTTTCATTTTGTTTTGTTTTAAGATGTAAAAAGGCTTTTATTTAAGGAGGCTATCAGCTGTTTGGAAACCCTTGTGGCATAGTGGTTAAGAGCTACGGCTGCTAGCCTGGGAGTGGACAGCCTCGTAAAACCAAATGAGACTAACGAGGTACAGGAGTCCAGTGACAAGGGCCAGAA